CTCTCTCCATGTCAATATGCCTTGCTTATTGTTGTTTCGGTTATTTCTTATTGTACTATTTCACTGTAGATCCCCCAGCCCAGCTCAACCTGCCATAGATAGCTCCTTTGTCCCACCCCCCATACACGCGGAGACCGACTCAATCGGTGCCTCCAGTGATGCTATCTCTTTCATCGTTACCCAACGCTTAGGTTTACCTCCACTGTACTCATATCCTTCCATATCATTTTCTGTACATAATGCCCTGAATCTATTCTACAACGCCCGGAAACCTGCCCCTTTTTTTCTCTGTACCTAACGCACTAGAAGACCAGTACTTAAAGCCTTTAGCCGTATCCTTATTCTACTCCTCCTCTGTTCCCCTGGTGATGTAGAGGTTAACCCAGGCCCTGTAGCCCCCAGTATCACTCCTACTCCTAATCCTGTAGCACTAACTCCAAAAAGTTTTGGGACACTGTAAAGTCCATGGAAAATAAGAGCACCTCCTCCCAACTGCCCACTGCACTGAGGCTAGGAACCACTGTCACCACCGATAAATCTACAATAATCGAGAATTTCAACAAGCATTTTACTACGGCTGGCCATGCTTTCCACCTGGTTACCACTACCCCGGCCACCAGCTCTGCACCCTCCGCTGCAACTTGCCCATGCCCCCCCCCCGCTTCTCCTTCACACAAATTCAGACAGCTGATGTTCTGAAAGAGCTGAAAAATCTGGACCCCTACAAATCAGCTGGGCTAGACAATCTGGACCCTTTCTTTCTAAAATTAGCCACCGAAATTGTCGCAACCCCTATTACTAGCCTGTTCAACCTCTCTTTCGTAACGTCTGAGATCCCCAGAGATTGGAAAGCTGCCGCGGTCATCCCCCTCTTCAAAGGGGGTGACACTCTAGATCCAAACTGTTACAGACCTATATCCATCCTGCCCTGCCTTTCGAAAGTATTTGAAAGCCAAGTTAACAAACAGATCACCGACCATTTCGAATCCCACCGTACCTTCTCCGCTATGTAATCCGGTTTCCGAGCTGGTCATGGGTGCACCTCAGCCACGCTCAAGGTCCTAAACGATATTATAACCACGATCGATAAAAGACAGTACTGCGCAGCCGTCTTCATCGACCTGGCCAAGGCTTTCGACTCTGTCAACCACCGCATTCTTATTGGCAGACTAAATAGCCTTGGTTTCTCTAATGACTGCCTTCCAGGTTCACCAACTACTTCTCAGATAGAGTTCAATGTGTCAAATCGGAGGGCCTGTTGTCTGGACCTCTGGCCGTCTCTATGGGGGTGCCACAGGGTTCAATTCTCGGGCCGACTCTATTCTCTGTGTATATCAATGATGTTGCTCTTGCTGCCGGTGAAGCTCGGATCCACCTCTATGCGGACGACACCATTTTGGATACATCTGGCCCTTCATTGGAAACTGTGTTAACAAACCTCCAAACGAGCTTCAACGCCATACAACACTCCTTCCGTAGCCTCCAACTAATCTTAAACACTAGTAAAACTAAATGCATGCTCTTCAACCGAACGCTGCTTGCACCCGCCCACCCGACTAGAATCACTATTCTCGGCGGGTCTGACCTAGATTATGTGGACAACTACAAATACCTAGGTGTCTGGTTAGACTGTAAACTCTCCTTCCAGACTCACATTAAGCATCTCCAATCAAAAGTTAGATCTAGAATCGGCTTCCTATTTCGCAACAAAGCCTCCTTCACTCATGCTGCCAAACATGCCCTCGTAAAACTGACTATCCTACCGATCCTTGACTTCGGCGATGTCATTTACAAAATAGCCTCCAACACTCTACTCAGCAAATTGGATGTAGTCTATCACAGTGCCATCCGTTTTGTCACCAAAGCCCCATATACTACCCACCATTGTGACCTGTACGCTCTTGTTGGCTGGCCCTCACTACATATTCGTCGCCAAACCCACTGGCTCCAGGTCATCTATAAATCACTGCTAGGCAAATCCCCGTCTTACCTTAGCTCACTGGTCACCATAGCAACACCCACCCGTAGTCTGCGCTCCAGCAGGTATATCTCACTGGTCATCCCCAAAGCCAACACCTCCTTTGGCCGCCATTCCTTCCAGTTCTCTGCTGCCAATGACTGGAACGAACTGCAAAAATCTCTGAAGCTGGAGACTCTTATCTCCCTCACTAACTTTAAGCGTCAGTTGTCAGAGCAGCTTACCGATCACTGCACCTGTACACAGCCTTTCTGAAATTAGCCCACCCAACTACCTCATCCCCATATTGTTATTTATTTTGCCCTTTTGCACCCCAGTATCTCTATTTGCACATCATCTTTTGCACATCTATCATTCCAGTGTTAATACGAAATTGTAACGATTTTGCACTATGGCCTATTTATTGCCTTACCTCCATAACTTACTACATTCGCACACACTGTATATATATTTTCTGTTTGTATTTTTGACTTTATGTTTTGTTTACCCCATATGTAACTCTGTGTTGTTGTTTTTATCGCACTGCTTTGCTTTATCTTGGCCAGGTCGCAGTTGTAAATGAGAACTTGTTCTCAACTGGCTTACCTGGTAAAATAAAGGTAAAAAATAAATAAATTGGGCCTTTACAATAAGGTGTGGCAAGAAGGGAAACTGCCTGGAAGTTGGAAGCAGGCGGTAGTGGTGCCAATACGGAAACCTGGGAAAGACCCTACTAGTCCTTTAAGCTATAGGCTGATAGCGTTGACATCTCACGTATGTAAACTAATGGAAAGGATGATAACGGAAAGGCTGACTTACTTTCTGGAGAGTAGAGGACTAATGTCACCACATCAAAGTGGGTTCAGGAAAGGCAGGGGAACGATGGATCCTGTACTGTGCCTTGAGTCAGTCATACGGAAGGCCTGATATTGGAAGGTCATTGTTTGCGGATGATGGAGCGTTGTGGAAGAGAGGGAGAAATATTACCCATACAGCCAGAAGAGTTCAATAAGTGATTAGTGAAGTAGAGCAGTGGTCCTTCAGGTGGGGCTTCAAGTTTTCAGTTAAGAAAACACATACTGTGTTTTTTTCTAGAAGGAAGGTTGGGGAGGAAATATACTTGAAGTTGTATGGAAGGAATCTGAGAGGGTGGGAGGGATTAGGTTCCTGGGGGTCTGATTTGACACTCAAATGACATGGGCGGAGCATATTAACAGAGTAGTTGTCAAAGGAAAGAAAAGATTGAATGTGATGTGTTGCTTGTCAGGAATGGAGTGGGGGGAAGATAGAATGGTGTTGAAAATTATATATATATAGCGCTGTTAAGGTCATCAATGGATTATGGAAGTATAGCATATGGATCAGCAGCTCAGACATCTTTAAAAAAGCTAGGTGTTATCCAGGTCCAAGCCCTAAGAATATGTTGTGGAGCACTCAGGACCTCCCCGGTGGCAGCGAGTTGGGAGAGATGCCGTTAAAATTAAGAAGACATGACATATTGGGTAAATCTACAAGGAAATAAGGTTACACGTCCTACTAAAAAGGTGCTCCTAGAGTGCTGGGAACATGAAAAAAATCTGAATACAAGCTTTGGGTGGATAGGCAATTGCATGGCGAGAGAGATGGGGTTGTTTGGGAGGGAGTTTAGCCCCTCTGTTGTTCTTCCTGCTATCCCACCTTGGTTTCTCCCTCAACCAGTGATAGATCTAGGGTTGCTTGAGAGGGTAAGATATGTTGAGGAAGGAGTAGATTCAATTGTAAGTGAACATTTAAGAACACAATACTATGCTTTCTTGAATATATTCACATATGGATCTAAGGACCCTAAAACAGGGAGGACATGAGCAGCTTTTAGTGTTCCTGAGATTTAGGTGGCAGTGACGAAAAGAGCAACAGATCATTTATCTGTTTACACAATGAAGTCGTTGACCATACTATTGGCTGCAGAGTGGGTGGAGGAGGTGTGGCCAGACAGGGTAGTCATCTGCTCTGACTCCTGTGCAGTACTGATGAGCTTAAATTCATGTGTGTCTCAGAGCAGACAGGATGTATTGTATGAGGTTTTGCAGTGTTTGAATAGAGTGAAACAGATGGGGGTATTTGTGACGTTCCTCTGGGCACCAGCTCATGTGGGAGTAGATGGGAATGAGGAAGTGGATATTACTGCCAAGCAGGCTCTTAAACATCCTAATGTTGAGAAGGAATTGTCAATCAGTAAAGCAGAAGCCAAGGGATTAATAAGAATGGTGGTTAGAAATAAGTGGCAAGAGTTGTGGAACAGGGAGTGTAAGGGAAGACACCTGTATAAGATCCAGGAAAAGGTGGGGGCAGGGAGGTCCTCAGGCTGAGAGAGAAGGGAGGAAAGTGTAGTGACAAGGCTGAGACTGGGACACACAAGGCTAAATAGTACATTGAAAGTGGTGGGGAAACATCCGACTGGGAGGTGTGATCATTGTCAGGAGGAGATGGAGACAGTGGAACATGTTCTATTTCAGTGCCAGAAATATGTGAGAGAAAGGGAGCGATTGTTATTAGATTTGAGGAGTAATGGGGTTGAAGAGCCAGGATTAAGTGAGCTGCTGGGGAAATCTTCAGGGGAGGTAGTATTTAATTATGTATTTCGTTTCCTTAGGGAGACAAGATTAATGGGTAAGATTTAGACATTCACTGACTTTGGTCCACACTCCAGTCCAGTTGGTGGCAGTAATTTACCTTAAAGTTGGTTGCTAACCGCATATATAATCCACAGAAGAAGAAGAAGAAGACGGAAAAAAAGAAAAGAAAGTCCAATCCCTTAATTTCGTTGTTTGTATGTGCCCATAGCAACGTTGGAAAATGAGACGGATACTACCCCGTACAGTGGGGGGCGGCATGGAACTGTAACGTTTGTGGGCAGCCATAATACCATAGAAGAAGATTCGTTTGCTGCTTGTTAGAGCTAGCTAACGGACTAATAACGTGTCCATCGTTATTTCAAAGACCGTTGGCATATCTTCGGTTTTATCTACTCATTCACCACCGGCCTCACCTTGCATCCTCAAAAATGGCTGACCCCAAATACGCCAACTTGCCTGGAATCGTAAGTGGCTTGTTAGCTTGCTTGCTAGTCAGCGTCGCGTTGTGAGTAGTTAGCGCTAGTGTTTATGAGATGTTTGATGAATGCTAGTAAAGCTAAGCTCTAAACAAAACCACAGAGTCCCGACAACTAGTTAACTAACTAGTTATCCAAACGTTTGCTAGCTATCATTGTTGGTTTGACACGTAAGCCTGATATGATAACGTAAGTGTACTAGCTAGCAACCTAAACTAACGCTAGCTAGCCAGTGTTAGACCCCTCCCTGGTTAACTGCTTCTTCTATGCATTGAAATTGACCGTTAAATAACAGACATGTCTTACAACTCATAACATTTCTAAACGTGGTCTTTGGACGGCTAACTAGCTATTAGTTAGGCTAACAAATGCAGCAGCTAGTTAATCCAGTTGTGTGATTGAATGGGTCAACGCCCCGGCTTGTGTCGAGGCACAGATCTGGGGAAGGGTACCAAAAATTGCCTGCAGCATTGACGGTCCCTAAGAACACAGTGGCCTCCATCATTCTGAAATGGAAGGAGTTTTGAACCACCAAGACTCTTTCTAGAGCTGGCCGCCCGGCCAAACTGAGCAATCAGGGGAGAAGGGCCTTGGTCAGGGAGGTGTTTTGTCACAATTTATGCTATCACAACAAGGAAATTTAAATGGCAACTCGACTTCATCTCGGGACTAACAACACCCATGCCAATATCCTCCAAACAACGGCTTCTTGGGCATTATCACTTAATCAGAACACAAGTAGCTAGCTATGTCAATGTAAAATTAATTGCGTTATAGAATATTGATTGATTTGAATGATTTTGTCTTCATAGGCGTCCAACGAGCCAGATGTATATGAGACCAGCGACCTGCCAGAAGATGACCAGGCACAGTTTGAGTCGGTGAGTGAAAGTTGGAGGAGAGAGGAAAGAAGGGATTGTGGAGAGGGAACGGGAGGGTTTCGACCCCCAAACACAGTTTTGGAATCATCTGTTGCTGATGTGGCTTAGCAGCATGACTTCCTCTAAGATAACCACTGCATGATGCAGAGTGGTTGGTTGGTTGTTTGATTGATTAGCATCTCTGTATCCTCATGCTGGCTCATGGATCAAGTCTGCTTTAGAACATACGTAATTCTGTTATAACGATTTATTTTTGACGTGCACTTGGCCAAATGGTTTATCACTTTTGTAGGGAATGGTGTTTTTTATTGATTAGGATTCATGCAAGACATTTAGTAGGCCTAATAATCCTCAGTTTTCACCTTGACATAGAATTGTAGCACGTCAGAGGAAATTGAATCTAAGATGTCTGTCTGTTGTGTGTGCTGACCTGCTACTGTATTTGTGTTTTAACATCCCTTTCCCCATTCCTAACAGTATACATGTTAACAGAAGCTTACTAACTAAATATCGTTACTAACTACGTTGCTAATCAAACACTAGGTTTAATACTGCAACACACTCTAAACCATTCAGAATGTAAATTGCAGATTTGCACTAGCCTACTTTTAATATCTGTGACCATCAGGATTTCATCACACTCGCGCAGTTTCTTAATGGATGGGTGTCTCACTCGGTTGAGTTTATTTACCTCATCCTATGGCTCTAAACCCATTTTCTTTCTAACCATCTCATCTTTGACTTAGAGGCTCAGAAATGGCTTTTCCCTCTGCCAATCCCCTCCTTCCACTGACTACATGATGCTAACAATACCAAGTACAGGATTAGAGGCTTGAGTGAATAGTGAGAGGCTCAGGGCATATGTTGCCTAAACACACACAGGATATCAGATATTTATATTCACAGTCACACATACAGCATATAACATTCATCTTCTGCCCCTGTGTGTGTACAGTATGATCTCTGATGTCAACAGCCTATAACCAATGCTGCTGATGTATCACAATAACCAAGGCATAGGCCGTGTGGGGCTGAGAGAGAGAGAACCGCGACGCCATGTTGAGCAGACGGTCAGCCTGGCTCAGAACACTGTTCTCTTTATCTCCCCTGGCAGTGATGGCTGGCTGCTGCTGTTGTGCATGGCATGTGATAACCACATTAATCTGTGTTTTTCTCTCTCTCTCTTTCCTCCTTCCCCTCTTTTGTTTCTCCCTGTGCTCTTCCTCTTTCTCTAACTCTCTTTGGGAACCCAAGGAGCTGGTAAGATCCTCAATGACTGACTCACCCCTCCTTCCTCCTAACATCTACTTGTTTGTCTGTGTTGCATGTGTCTGTACTGTGTCAGTCTGTCTTTACTGTCTGTATTAGTGGTGATTAATCCCATGAGCCTCTTTGATTCATGTGAGCTGATCATTTGGACTATAGACACATTGATCACTTCATATTCAGTTCCTCAATACTCAACCTAGTGCACAGTTGCCTGAGGCTCTAGAATGATGCTCTTCAAGTTTTATTAGTCGTAGGTTCCCGGAACAACTAATGATAGGAGTCTGATTCTTCCAATGAGTAGATACATGTCACGAATTGATTTATTAACAGGCAATAGCTGATCTCATAGAAGTCATGCAGAGATGAAAGACCAAAGCCACAGGAGAAACTCTGAATACCAAATAGGCTAAAGGCTGAAACTAAAACCAAACTATACCATATGATGTGCTGCGGGTCTCATTCTACTGTATTCTTCACTCCCGCCTACCATTTGCCTAAGTTTTTAGGCCCCATAGCTTCCATCAGTCAGCTGTGCAAGCGGTTAATTTTCATGTAGAGCAGACGTTGGTTCCTGGTTCTTGGATACCCCAGAGTCATTGTTAACTTTCCATCCACATTCTGTTCACACCCTCTTACATAATTAGTGTTGTTCGGTTTCATTGGTCAATAAAGAGCTTGTTTAAAGATTATTGATTGTTGAAACAATACACGGCAAACCTTCATTACTTTGTGTTGAGGACTCTAAATTGTTTCTCTTTCTTGATCAAATCGTAAGTCAACCATCTTGGTTTTCCTTCCTGGAGAATAGACTGGTTTCCCCAACTGAATACAGATACATGTCATAATGTGTGTGTTTTGGTGTTAATGAGAGGTGTGTGTGTGTGTGTGAGCTGTCATGGGTTTGTGAGTTGGAGCTGTCATAGATTGGCATCTCACGTGGGTCCTCTGTCAAACTGTGTGGATAAACTCTCATTGAGCTGTATCTCTGTGACTGGTTGAATTTATTGACAATTATAGACTACAGATGACAATTAGCTTCGTAGCTAGAATCTGGTGCATGGGCCCTGTAAAATAAAAAATTGTCTGAGGCTGGCTGTACACATCTAATGGTTCTGGTTGTACAGATACAAGGGACTAGTTTCCAGATCATATTTAAAGAGCCAGTGTGACAGATGGCCCATGAAGAGAACACTAACAGCAGAAATCCCCATCAATCCTATCAATCAAATGGGAATCAACCCTTTTGGAATAATTTTGCCCTAGATCCACTCGCAGACCTCTCATTCCCAAACCATGTGTACATTTGCGACTTGGCTGGTAAGGTCAATCTCTGAGTGGATTGGAGAAGGGAAAGGGAAGAATATGGCAGCATCTCAATAGTACAAAGAGAGGTGAGATGCAGCCTGTGTCCTGTGTATTCCTGTGGTATATCTGACATGACGTTCTCTCTGGGTGCCTCCCTCCATAACAGGAAGAGCTGTGCAGTGACAGTGTGGAAAGGATCGTGGTCAACCCTAATGCAGCCTACGACAAGTTCAAGGACAAACGCGTCAGTACTAAAGGACTCGGTCAGTCTACTACAGCCAACAGCTGGATGTCCAGGCATGATATACAGTGCATTCGGAAAGTATTCAGACCCCTTGAATTTTTCCACATTTTGTTAAGTTACAGCCATATCCTAAAATTCATTAAATTGTTTTTTTTCCCCCTTATCAATCTACACACAATACCCCATAATGACAAAGCGAAACAGGTTTTTCGATTTTTTCCAAATGTATAGAAAATAGAAAACATACCTTATTTACATAAGTATTCAGATCCTTTGCTATGAGACTCGAAATTGAGCTCAGGTGCATCCTGTTTCCATTGATCATCCTTGATGTTTCTACAACTTGATTGGAGTCCACCTGTGATACATTCAATTGATTGGACATGATTTGGAAAGGCGCACACATGTCTATGTAAGGTCCCACAGTTGACAGTGCAAAAACCAAGCCATGAGGTCGAAGGAATTGTCTGTAGAGTTCAGAGGCAGGATTGTGTCGAGGGACGGATCTGGGGAGGGTACCAAAACATTTCTGCAGCATTGAAGGTCCCCAAGAACACAGTGGCTTCCATCATTCTTAAATGGAAGAAGTTTGGAACCACCAAGACTCTTCCTAGAGCTGGCCGCCCGGCCAAACTGAAAAATCGGGGGAGAAGGGCCTTGGTCAGGGAGGTGACCAAGAACCCGGTGGTCACTGACAGAGCTCCAGAGTTCCTCTGTGGAGATGGGAGAACCTTCCAGAAGGACAACCATCTCTGCAGCACTCCACCAATCAGGCCTTTATGGTAGAGTGGCCAGACGGAAGCCACTCCTCAGTAAAAGGCACATGACAGCCTGCTTGGAGTTTGCCAAAAGGCACCTAAAGGACTCTGACCATGAGAAACAAGAGTCTTTGGTCTGATGAATCCAAGATTGAACTCTTTGGCCTGAATTCCAAGCGTCGCATCTGGAGGAAACCTGGCACCATCCCTACGGTGAAGCATGGTGGTGGCAGCATCATGCTGTGGTGATGTTTTTCAGCGGCAGGGACAGGGAGACTAGTCAGGCTCGAGGGAAAGATGAACGGAGCAAAGTACAGAGAGATCCTTGATGAAAACCTGCTCAGGACCTCAGACTGGGGCGACGATTCACCTTCCAAAAGGACAACGACCCTAAGCACACAGCCAAGACAACGCAGGAGTAAGTGGCTTCGGGACAAGTCTCTGAATGTCCATGAGTGGCCCAGCCAGATCCCGAACTTGAACCCGATCGAACATCTCTGGAGAGACCTGAAAATAGCTGTGCAGCGACGCTCCCCATCCAAGCTGACAGAGCCTGAGAGGATCTGCAAAGAAGAATGGGAGAAACTCCCCAAATACAGGTGTGCCAAGCTTGTAGCATATACCCAAGAAGGCTCGAGGTTTTAATCGCTGCCAAAGGTGCTTCAACAAAGTACTGAGTATAGGGTCTGAATACTTATGTATATGTGATATTTTAGTTTAGTTTTTTAATGTATTTACAAACATTTTTGCGTTGTCATTATGGGGTATTGTGTGTAGATTGAGGATTTTTATTTGATCCATTTTAGAATAAGGCTGTAACGTAACAAAATGTGGAAAGTCGAGGAGTCTGAATACTTTCCGAATGCACTGGAAGGGCAGGAGTTTTCCCCTTACCACACGACCTGACCTGGAATAACTTTTCCTGCATATTGTATCATATTATATAGTCTATATGCAGAGCAGTTGACCTCAGTCACATGATCAGAAACTCCTAGCTCTAGTAACATGGTCAGGGAAAACTCCTGGCCCTAGACATGAGGCATTTCATGAATTGGTCACAAATCACCTAATATTCTTGTCTCTCCTGTAATAAATGTATCTTCCAGACTTCTCAGACCGTATCAGTAAGAACAAAAGAGTGGGCTATGAGTCGGGAGAATATGAGATTGTGAGTAAACTCTGGGCCTACATTATTGAATTTCATATTGATAATCTTAGTTATATAAATATATATATCAAATTTGAATTTCTGTGAAATCAATGGCAAGACGTTTTTCTGTTTTAATCGTGTGTGTTATTTGCTGTCTGTTCAAGTGCTTCACTCTGTTGTCTGTGTTAACTGGTTGTCCTCTCTCTCTCTCTCTCGCTCTCTCCTCTCTTCTCTCACTTAATTCCTCTTTTCTCCCTGTCTAGTTGGCAGAGGGCTGTGGGTTGAAGGAAACTCCCCAGCAGAAGTACCAGCGGCTGGTCAATGAGATCCAGGAGCTCAGTCAGGAGGTGGAAACTATCCAGGTAGGGCCCAGACACAGTCCCAAACAACCTGTTTGCTTCTACCCCCTAGGCCTAGACTATCCAGGTCAGACAGGAAAATCAGGAATCCCTGAAATCATCCTTTATGTACTGTTAACACCATTGACCTAGACATACCCCCCCCCCCCCCCCCCCCCCCAGGCGACCACGAAGGATAGCAGTGCGGAGGAGCGTCTGACCCCAGTAGTCCTAGCCCAGCAAGCTGCCCAGCTCAAACAGCAGCTGGTCTCTGCCCACCTGGACTCTCTGCTGGGACCACAGGCACATATCAACCTAGCTGACCCAGACGGAGCACTGGCCAAGTAAGGGAGGGAGGGAGGGAGGGGAAGGGACTCCCTTCTGGGTCCCATTAGTGCTCGCCAAGTGAGGAGAGGGAAGGAGGAAGGGATTAAAAATGGTAGCAAATGCAATTTAGTCATGTCATGTTACATAGTTGTCAGAAAGGGAGACAATATTACGCAGTCTTAGCAGTCGCTGCTCTTATTAAAGACTTAAAAGGCGGCAGGTAGCTTAGCGATTAAGAGCGTTGGGCCAGTAACCGAAAGGACGCTGAATCCCTGAGTTGACTAGGTGAAACATTTAATGTGCCCTTGAACAAGGCACTTAAACCCTAATTGCTCCTGTAAGTCACTCTGGATAAGAGCATCTGCTAAATTACTGAAATGTAAAAGACTTATCGTATTTTCCCTGGTTCTTATCCCCCTATGTTATTCCCTTCCTTACCCTCCCTCTCTCCTCCTCCTCCTCTCCCTTCTCCACCCTTTTCTCTCTATTTCTTTCTCTCCACCCCTCCCTCTCCCATTTTCCCTCTCTATCCCCCCTCCTCCTCTCCTCTCCCCCAGGCGTCTGCTAACCCAGCTGGAGGCAGCGAGGAGCAGTAGGGGGAGTACAGGGGAGGGGAAGGCCCCAGCAACAGCTAAAGGTCCTGATGGTGTGGTGCTCTATGAGCTGCACAGCCGGCCAGAGCAGGAGAAGTTCACCGACGCTGCCAAAGTAAGGGGCCCCGGGGCCATGGGTGGGTGTGTGCCAAATGGCCACCAGTTGCGGTGCGTGCCCATGTGAGTGAAGAGAGCTCAATGAGTGTTGGCTTTTGTGTCTGTTGTTGTGCAAGATGGGTTGGTGATGTAACGTTAGGTGTGTGAGGTCTGTTGACTAAATTATTTGTCTTTGTTACATCATTTATTAGTTAATTCTCCATGTCTCCTTTGTGTAGATGGCAGAGCTGGAGAAGCGGCTTGCAGAGCTGGAGACGGCTGTGGGCTCTGGATCAGACAAACAGGGTCCTCTGAGTGCTGGGGTGCAGGGAGGCAGTCTCATGGTGAGTCTCTTCTGAACTCTTCTTTCAGGACTGAACTCAACCCTTATCATCAATCACTGTTAATTACTGAGGCAGAATTACTCCAAATTATCAAATTCAACCTACATAGCAACAACTTCACTTCACCGTCATGATTGGAAGCCCATCAATCCCTGTGACCGAGGTCTCTCCCTCTCACCCCCCCCCCCCCCTCCATCTCTCTCTCTTTCCATCTCTTTCTTTTTCTTCTCCCCCCAGGACACCATGGAGCTGCTGCAGGCGAGGGTCAGTGCTCTGGACTCAGCCACTCTGGACCAGGTAGAGGCCAGACTGCAGGTAACACACCTTTACCGTTGCAGAGGCAAATGCAAAACTGATCAGTGCCTGGGGCAGCTTCAGCCTACTCCACACTGTGTGTCTTCCCGCTTCTAGTTGTCAGAAGGCTCGGAGGGACCTTGACAACCAACACCATTTTTTATCGTACTGCAATACTACACTTTTATGTACATGTGATGTTTTTGTGTTGTGTTTGTATAGAGTGTCCTTGGGAAGATGAATGAGATTGCAAAGCACAAGGCAGCCATCGAAGATGATGACACACAGAACAAGGTCAGTAACTACCTTTAAAATGTGAACTTTATACAGCATCTTAGTACTATTTCACACAATGTTTAAAGTAATTGTGGCTTGACCAGGAAAAACTCTTGGCCCAAACTATCCCCTATAGATCAAACCCTGACAATCCATTACCAACCATATAATTATTCTGACTGCATTTTGCAGCAACTCATTCTGCTGTCAGCCAATATTGTTCACCCCCAACCTTATCATTATTTGGTCTGCAACTTGTTCCAATAACTTATGTTGTCTGTCAGGTGTCTCGGCTGTATGACGTGGTGCAGAAGTGGGACGCCATGGCAACCTCTCTGCCTCAGGTGGTGCAGAGGCTCATGGCTGTCAAAGGGTTGCATGAACAAGGTAATAACTAGGGCTGGCACAATTACCGTGTAACCGGCGGTTATGGATAAGGACTGTCATGAAAATAAAATAACCGTTAAAAAACAACGGGGGGGGGGGGGACAGGACAAACAGCTGACTGAAGACAGGAAGCCGGACATTTGTGCGGTTGAGTCCGTTTCTGCGATAACATGCTCTTAACAACGTGATGAAACTTTGTTGCTCCTTGCTGAAACAAGCAACAAATATAATAAAATCTAACTTTATTTATACAGCACATTTCAGACATGGAATGCAACGCAATGTGCTTTTACAGGAAAAAACGAATATCTTTACTACACAACAAACATTAGATAAAAAACAAAAGAATGACACAAACTGAACAACTAAAAAGCACCCTGAGGAAAAGCAAAGCTAAAAATGTTTTTTAAGATCTCTTTTAACTGTCCACAGTTTCGGCCCCCCTCAGGTTCCCTGGCAGGCTATTCCAGAGGCTGGGGCCATAACCAAAGGCTGTCTCTCCATGCGTCTTGATTCTAGGCTTTGGGATAATTAAAAGGCCAGTGCCAGAGGACCTGAAGGACCTACTGGGTACATAACTTAAAAGTATGTCTGACATGTATTGGGGTGGATTGATTTAAAAACCAATAGAATATTAAAATTAATTCTTAAACTCACAGGCAGCCAGTGCAGAGACCTTAAAACCGGTGTAATGTGTGCTCTCAGTCTGGTCTTGGTCAGTACCTGTGTTGTAGCATTCTTTAAGTTTTGCAGTTGGCCAATTGTTTTCTTGGGTAGACCAGACAGGAGAGCATTACAGTAGTCAAGCCTGCTTGTAATAAAAGCATAGATGAGTCTCTCTGTATCAGCCTGCGAGAGAAATGGCTGCACCATGGCAATGTTCCTCAGGTGGCAAAAAGCTATTTTGGTCACATTCCTAATGTGATTCGAAATTTAGTTCAGGATCTAAAATAACACCTAGGTTTTTTACCTTGTGTTTTATCTTTATTGCCCGTGTATTAAAATATGTGGCTATTCTCTTTGAGCTTTCGCTCCAGCAATAAGTACCTCGGTCTCGTCTTGATTTAGCTGGAGGAAGTTGTGACCCATCCAAGTATTTAAATATTTAATACAGTCTAATATTTCCATGGAGCTAAAATCCTCGTGACACAGAAATGTAAAGTTGTGTATTGTCTGCGGAGCAGTGAAAATCAATCATGTGATTTCTGATAATGCTTACCAAGGGCTAATCTACAGTGAGGGGGAAAAAGTATTTGATCCCCTGCTGATTTTGTACGTTTGCCCACTGACAAAGAAATGATCAGTCTATAATTTTAATGGTAGGTTTATTTGAACAGTGAGAGACAACAAAAAAATATCCAGAAAAACGCATGTCAAAAATGTTATGAATTGATTTTCATTTTAATGAGGGAAATAAGTATTTGACCCATCTGCAAAACATGACTTAGTACTTGGTGGCAAAACCCTTGTTGGCAATCACAGAGGTCAGATGTTTCTTGTAGTTGGCCACCAGGTTTGCACACATCTCAGGAGGGATTTTGTCCCACTCCTCTTTGCAGATCTTCTCCAAGTCATTAAGGTTTCGAGCCTGACGTTTGGCAACTCGAACCTTCAGCTCCCTCCACAGATTTTCTATGGGATTAAGGTCTGGAGACTGGCTAGGCCACTCCAGGACCTTAATGTGCTTCTTCTTGAGCCACTCCTTTGTTGCCTTGGCCGCGTGTTTTGGGGTCATTGTCATGCTGGAATACCCATCCACGACCCATTTTCAATGCCCTGGCTGAGGGAAGGAGGTTCTCACCCAAGATTTGATGGTACATGGCCCCGTCCATCGTCCCTTTGATGCGGTGAAGTTGTCCTGTCCCCTTAGCAGAAAAACACCCCCAAAGCATAATGTTTCCACCTCCATGTTTGACGGTGGGGATGGTGTTCTTGGAGTCATAGAATGCATTCCTCCTCCTCCAAACACGACTAGTTGAGTTGATGCCAAAGAGCTCCATTTTGGTCTCATCTGACCACAACACTTTCACCCAGTTCTCCTCTGAATCATTCAGATGTTCATTGGCAAACTTCAGACAGGCATGTATATGTGCTTTCTTGAGCAGGGGGACCTTGCGGGCGCTGCAGGATTTCAGCCCTTCACGGCGTAGTGTGTTACCAATTGTTTTCTTGGTGACTATGGTCCCAGCTACCTTGAGATCATTGACAAGATCCTCCCGTGCAGTTCTGGGCTGATTCCTCACCGTTCTCATGATCATTGCAACTCCACGTGGTGAGAACTTGCATGGAGCCCCAGGCCGAGGGAGATTGACAGTTCTTTTGTGTTTCTTCCATTTTCAAATAATCGCACCCTGTTGTCACCTTCTCACCAAGCTGCTTGGCGATGGTCTTGTAGCCCATTTCAGCCTTGTGTAGGTCTACAATCTTGTCCCTGACATCCTTGGAGAGCTCTTTGGTCTTGGCCATGGTGGAGAGTTTGGAATCTGATTGATTGATTGCTTCTGTGGACAGGTGTCTTTTATACAGGTAACAAGGTGAGATTAGCTTGTTACCTGTATAAAAGACACCTGGGAGCCAGAAATCTTTCTGATTGAGAAGGGGTCAAATACTTATTTCCCTCATTAAAATGCAAATCAATTTTTGACATGTGTTTTTCTGGATTTTGTTGTTGTTATTCTGTCTCTCACTGTTCAAATAAACCTACCATTAAAATTATAGACTGATCATTTCTTTGTCAGTGGGCAAACGTACAAAATCAGCAGGGGATCAAATACTTTTTTCCCTCACTGTATATAAACTTAACAATACTGGATCCAAAATTGAACCTTGAGTTATGTTCACCAAGGGTGACAAACTCTTGACCAGTTAAGTAGGTCCTAAACCAATTTAGAACTGGACCGGAGAGGCCAACCTACCTCTGTCCAGAAGGACATCCTGGTCAACCGCGTCGAATGCAGCACTTAAATCTAAGAGTACAAGGACAGAGAGCTGTTTGGCATCTGTGTTGACTCTAAGATCATTTACCACTTTAACTAAGGCTCTCTCTGTGCTGTGGTGGGCACGAAAACCAGATTGGAATTTTTCAAAAATAGGTGGCACAAATTTATTTTTTTTGCTGTTTGAACACCAATTTCATCAGATTTTTGCTTAAGAAAGTAAGGTTGGAGATTGGCAGAAAATTGCTAAGAGCTGAAGAATCTAGATTACTTTTCTTCAGACCTGACTCATCAGTCTTAGTCTCTCAGTGACTCTGTCTCTCTCTAGCCATGCAGTTTGGTCAGCTGCTGACCCACCTGGACACCACCCAGCAGATGATCAACAACTCTCTGAAGGACAATGGAACACTGCTCTCACAGGTAGGAAACACTACCTACTACTATCACTAACTGCTTTCACACTGCTATAGGACACATTTCACACTGCTCTAACAGGTTGGTAGGACTGCTGCTGGGACTGACGTGACCTTTACACTACTGAGCTCTTGTACCTTTCACACTGTATTGAGCTGTACTGTACTGCACTGGCCTGGTTACCCATCCATCATAGTTGCTGGAACTGTACTGGAAAGGAGAATGTGAAATGATGGTGTGGAAAGGGTAATAAAGTTCTCATCTATCTGGGACAAACATGGCCGTGTACAAACCCCCAAAGTGTCACCTGTACACTGTGCATTCAGTATTTTTTTGATGAAGGTCTTACTCTTGTGTAGCTAGACAGCCTGTCCATTCAATACACTCTGCACTGGAGGATGTATTTTATAGATAGGTAATATATTTCACCTTCCGTTTGAGACAGAACTCCAAGGTAGCATCCTACCTATGTAGGAGACCAGGGGAAATTGTATTCTTTTTTGGTGTTTTACTCTGTCTTAGATACCACTTGGCCATTTTTTGATATAAGAAACTTACATCGGTCTCCTAATCATTCATACCATTTATATGTCTGTACATAAGACGGTCGGATCACAATATTGATTTTATTTTCCGAAAAGTCTGGACGTTACATTTTCCCCCGTGCCAGGGGCAATTGCAACAGTAGTTGGGGTAAAATGTAACATGTTAAAAAAGAAACCAAATAAACTCACTTAACTTAAACATTCATGTTCATTAATTATCATAGACATATGTCATGATTTTGCAAGAAATATAAGTATTTATATGTACAGTGCCTTCACACCCCTTGACCTTTTCCACATTTTGTTGTGTTACCGCCTGAATTTAAAATGGATTAAATGGAGCTTTTGTGTCACTGGCCTACACACATTTTTACAAATTAATGAGAAGCTGAAATGTCTTGTCTAAGTATTCAACCCCTTTGTTATGGCAAGCCTAAATAGGTTCAGGAGTAAAAATGTGCTTAACAAGTCACATAATAAGTTGCATGGATTCACACTGTGTGCAATAATTGTGTTTAACATTATTTTTAAATGACTACCTCACATCTGTACCCCACACATACAATTATCTCTAAGGTCCCTCAGTTGAGCAGTGAATTTCAAGCACAGCTTCAACTGCAAACACCATGGAGGTTTCCCAATGGTTCGCAAAGAAGGGAACCTATTATTTATTTTACAGTGCATTCGGAAAGTATTCAGACTTTTTCCACATTTTGTTACGTTACAGCCTTATTCTGAAATGGATTACATGGTTTTCCCCCCCTCATCAATCCACAATAAACTAAATGACAAAGCATTTTTTTTTGCAAATGTATAATAAAAAAAATGTAAATGGTACATTTACATAAGTATTCAGACCCTTTACTCAGTACTTTGTTGAAGCACCTTTGGCAGCGATTATAGCCTCGAGTCTTCTTGGGTATGACGCTACAAGCTTGGCACACCTGTATTTGGGGAGTTTCTCCCATTCTCCTCTGCACATCCTCTCAAGCTCTGTCAGGTTGGATGCGTCGCTGCACAGCTATTTTCAGGTCTCTCCAGGGTTTTGGCAGGGCCACTCAAGGACATTCAGAGACTTGTCCCGAAGCCACTCCTGCGTTGTCTTGGCTGTGTGCTTAGGGTCGTTGTCCTGTTGGAAGGTGAACCTTCGCCCCAGTCTGAGGTCCTGAGCGCTCTGGAGAAGGATTTCTCTGTTCTTTGGGATGGTGCCAGGTTTCTTCCAGACGTGATGCTTGGCATTCAGGCCAAAGAGTTCAATCTTGGTTTCATCAGACCAGAAAATCTTGTTTCTCATGGTCTGAGGGTCCTTTAGGTGCATTTTGGCACAATGCTGTCTCGGAGCTCTACGGACAATTCCTTCGACCTCATGGCTTGGTTTTTGCTCTGACATGCACTGTCAACTATGGGACCTTTTTATATAGACAGGTGTGTGCCTTTCCAAATCATGTCCAATCAATTGAATTTACCACAGGTGGACTCCAATCAAGTTGTAGAAACATCTCAAGGATGATCAATGGAAACAGGATGCACCTGAACTCCATTTCGAGTCTCATAGCAAAGGGTCTGAATACTTATGTAATTAAGGTAGATCTGTTTTTATTTAAAATACATTTGCAAAAGTTTCAAAAAACCTGTTCGCTTTTATTTTAATCAATTTTATAATAAGGCTGTAACGTCACAAAATGTGGAAAAAGGGAAGGGGTCTGAATACTTTCCGAATGCACTGTATTTGTCAGGGACCATGTACAACATGCCATTGCACCAGATTTAGCTAGATAGCTAATTTTCATCTGGAGTCCCTGGGTAGAAAACAATAAACATCAATACTTCATTGCAATGCTACAATACACACACATTGTAAATCGTGTGCTGTATATATACAGTACCAGTCAAAAGTTTGGACACCTACTCATGTCAGGATTTTTCTTAATTTTTTACTATTTTCTACATGTACAATAATAGTGAAGACATCACAAATATGTAATAACACATATGGAATCATGTAGTAACCAAAGTAGCCACCCTTAGCCTTGATGACAGTTTTGCACACTCTTGGCATTTTCTCAACCAGCTTCATGAGGTATTAATTACACTTTGGATGGTGTATCAATACACCCAGTCATTACAAAGATACAGGCGCTTTTCCTAACTCAGCTGCTGGAGAGGAAGGAAACCGCTCAGGGATTTCACCATGAGGCCAATGGTGATTTTAAAACAGTTAGTTTAATGGCTGTGATAGGAGAAAAACTGAGGATGGATCAACATTGTAGTTACTCCAAAATACTTACTAATATAAATTACAGTGAAAATATGGAAAAATTGCAAAACATGCATCCTGTTTTGAAATATGGCACTAAAGTAATACTGCAAAAAAATGTGGCAAAGAAAAACTTTTTGTCCATAATACAAAGCGTTATGTTTGGGGCAAATCCGAAGTACCACACTTCATATTTTCAAGCATGGTGGTGGCTGCATCATGTTATGGATATGCTTGTCATCAGCAAGGACTAGGGAGTTTTTGGGAATAAAAAGAGTATAGCTAAGCACAGGCAAAATCCTAGAGGAAAACTTGTTTGTCTGCTTTCCAACAGACGCTGGGAGAATGCGCCTTTCAGCAGGAAAATTACCTAAATCACAAGGCCTAATATAAACTGGAGATGCTTACCAAGACAACATTGAATGTTCTTGAGTGGCCTAGTTACAGTTTTGACTTAAATTGGCTTGAAAATCTATGGCAAGACTTGAAAATGGCTGTTTAGCAATGATCAACATCCAATTTGATAGAGCTTGAAGAATTGTTTTAAAGAATAATGGGCAAGTATTGTACAATCCAGGTGTGCAAAGATCTAGAGACTTACCCAGAAAGACTCACTGCTGTAATCGCTGCCACAGGTGATTCTAACATGTATTGACTCAGGGTTGAATACTTAGTTTTTGTTAGAATTTTTCTCCCACTTTGACATAACATTTTGTGTCGATCGTCGACCAAGAAATTACAAATAAATCAGTTTTAATCTCACTTTGTAACAACAAAATGTGGGTAAAGTTCAGGGGTGTGAATACTTTCTGAAAGCACTGTACATAACCAATATTTCCAGTGACACCTGTTTGTGCATGGCCATTCGGTTCCTCAAAACATCTTGAATAGTCTGATGGTGCCCAGATTATATCTGTTTACAACTTCTTTGACACTGCCGGCCCCAAATACTATTTCAAATTAGTATTTGTATAATTCATGGATAATTCGTACAATCAAAGTTAAAATCACTTTTTTTCTTCATTTGGATGCTTGGCTCAGGGTCATTTTAACACTGCGTTACAATTGCCCCCAACCCTAACAGCCATGACAACCATATGCCTAGCAAGAGACAATAGTGACAAATGTCAATGTTTAGCAAACACAGTGATTAAATTATGCTAGTTTTAATTTGTTGACGTTTACTCTTAGGACAGTAAGAAAAATACAGCCAGTGGAAAAAAACTACTTTCACCCCTAAAAATACAATAAATGTTTCCCATAAAGCATTCAAATAGCGAGATTTGGGTGAAAGCAGGGAGAGAACCTTAAAGGACATGTACTGAGTTAATTTCATCACTCTAGCGTGTTTCTGTTTGGGGAAAGTCAAGGTGTTACAATTGCCCCTTGTTACTATTGCTGCCGGTCTCCCCTACTGTACAGGCCTTGACTATTAACACATCTCTCTCCTCCTCTTCGCTCCCTCTTCTCCCATCAGGTGCAGACGACCATGAAGGAGAATCTCCTGTCTGTAGAAGAAAACTTTACTGCCCTGGACCAGAGGATGAAGAAGCTCAACAAATAAATCTGCTTATTTTTTTAAAATGTCTGTCGGTAGAGTTTGGAAAATGTAGAAGTAGGAGAGGGAGAGATTGGAGTCTTTCTCACTTCTCTCCCTGTCTGTCTTCTTCTCTTCCTCCACCTCTGCCATTTTTTCTGGAGAGCGTATATTCTCCACACAGAACAGGCTACTCAGGCAAATGGTGCTCCTTTTAATAAAGTTAGATTAAAGCTCAATCATCCAAGATCACATAATGATCACAGTATTCTACATAACAGAACCTAATAGAATAGCATAGTATAACATTACTGTGAAACACTAGGCGGACCGCATTCAATAGTAAAGGATTATTCTTCAAGTTTTACAGGTGAAACATCCATGCAGCATATTTCTGCATAGTAACCATTTGATCTCGATCAGTTTCATAGGTATATGCATTCAGGTGTTCTTGAGTTATACAGTGTTTCGAAGTAGCCTAGTGTTTTGAATGATGTATAGTGCATGAATTTTAGATCAGATGGTGTTAACTGTAGTCTACCTGTGTATTTTGCCTAGTGGCGCATGCTGTTGAATTTTGTCCGTGACTTAAATGCGGTGGTGTTTTTGTCTTACAGTAATGTTTTACTATGCTTTTAAAAAGTTGAAGTCGGAAGTTTACATACACCTTAGCCAAATACATTTAAACTCAGTTTTTCACAATTCCTGACATTTAATCCTAGTAAATATTCCCTGTTTTAGGTCAGTTAGGATCACCACTTTATTTTAAGTATGTGAAATGTCAGAATAATAGTAGAGAGAATTATGTATTTCAGCTTTTATTTCTTTATTCACATTCCCAGTGGGTCAGAAATGTACATACACTCAATTAGTATTTGGTAGCATTGCCTTTAAATTGTTTAACTTGGGTCAAACGTTTCGGGTAGCCTTCCACAAGCTTCCCACAATAAGTTGGGTGAATTTTGGCCCATTCCTCCTGACAGAGCTGGTGTAACTGAGTCAGGTTTGTAGGCCTCCTTGCTCGCACACACTTTTTCAGTTTTGTCCACAGATTTTCTATAGGATTGAGGTCAGGGCTTTGTGATGGCCACTCCAATACCTTGACTTTGTTGTACTTAAGCCATTTTGCCACAACTTTGGAAGTATGCTTGGGGTCATTGTCAATTTGGAAGACCCATTTGCGACCAAGCTTTAACTTCCTGACTGATGTCTTGAGATGTTGCTTCAATATATCCACATAATTTTCCTTCCTCATGATGCCATCTATTTTGTGAAGCGCACCAGTCCCTCCTGCAGCAAAGCACCCCCACAGCATGATGCTGCCATCCCCGTGCTTCACGGTTGGGATGGTGTTCTTCGGCTTGCAAGCAACCCCCCTTTTCCTCCAAACATAACGATGGTCATTATGGCCAAACAGTTCTATTTTTGTTTAATCAGACCAGAGGACATTTCTCCAAAAAGTATGATCTTTGTCCCCATGTGCAGTTGCAAACCATAGTCTGGCTTTTTTATGGAGGTTTTGGAGCAGTGGCTTCTTCCTTGCTGAGTGGCCTTTCAGGTTATGTCGATTTAGGACTCGTTTTACTGTGGATATAGATACTTTTGTACCTGTTTCCTCCAACATCTTCACAAGGTCCTTTGCTGTTGTTCTGGGATTGATTTGCACTTTTCGCACCAAAGTACGTTCATCTCTAGGAGACAACGCGTCTCTTTCCTGAGCAGTATGACGGCTGCGTGGTCCCATGGTGTTTATACTTGCATACTATTGTTTGTACAGATGAACGTGGTACCTTCAGGCGTTTGGAAATTGCTCCCAAGGATGAACCAGACTTGTGGAGGTGTACAATTTTTTTGAGGTCTTGGCTGATTTCTTTTGATTGGAATTTTCCAAGCTGTTTAAAGGCACAGTCAACTTAGTGTATGTAAACTTCTGACCCACTGGAATTGTGATAAAGTGAATTATAAGTGAAATAATCTGTCTGTAAACAATTGCTGGAAAAATTACTTGTGTCATGCACAAAGTAGATGTCCTAACCGACTTGCCAAAACTATAGTTTGTTAACAAGAAGTTTGTGGAGTGGTTGAAAAATGAGTTTTAATGACTCCAACCTTCTGTTATGTAGATTACTGTAAATATAATGTGATCTTGCAGACATTGAGGTTTGGTCTAAACTTTACTTAACAAGCACCAACAGTAGCCTGTTCTCTACGCGTAAAGTAGAGAATACATGCGCAGAACATCATATGCCCAGAAGCATCCGGAAGCTCAATCTTTTCTTTTCTAAAGATGGATCTGCAGCCACAGCCTTATTACGCCCACTATATACACACACGCCACTTAATATTCACGTTCCCTTCAAAGCTTGATCGCTTTTAGACTGAAATGATTCTCAAAATGTATCCATAACCATTCAACCTCTTTAGCCACACTGTTTAGGTATTTTCAACAACATTCATTCAGCTAAGTAATTTAATTTATTTTCCTGTTTGTAGCAAAGCCATATGTAAATATATGGCTCTGGTTTGAGGGCTTGAGAAGTGTTCAGAACATAAAAACAGAAGGTGAAATAGCATTTTTAAGAAAGGACATGTCTACAACTGCACAAAAATGAGCCATCGGTTGCATCCCGATTGTCCACTCTTCTCCTAAATGTGCACTTGCACACTTCCCTTCATGGATATAACAGCAGCAGGAGCACCTACAGTAACTGTGTGGGGGGCCTGAAGTCATGAAGGAATACTTGTAAATATGCTTGAATATGCTAAATGTTTCATGCTCAGTTGCTTGTAACTATTGTATTATGACAGACTAAAATGCCACAAACTACTTTTAATCTACTGAGTTGACTGTCATTGCCTACGATGGACTGTATTGTATCTGACCCAGTTTGTGGTGATGGGATATCATCTGAATAAAACAGATTTAACTACACTCACTTTTTGAGAGGGAGAGCAACTCTGCATATTCTACTTCATTATTACTTGCATTGTTTAAATAATGACTTGTACCCTGAAAAAGTCACGACACTTAAGTCCTCAGACTTGATGTTTCTCAGTAAAGAAAGACCGTACATTGCTACTGTGCACAGACTGCACCCGCCAGACTAGGGTAATCTGATCCTAGATCTGTGGTTACAGGCAATTTTTTTACTGGAGAGTTCTAGTCTAGTTGCAATCTCTTGCTTGTAATGGTGTAACGTGGCCAGTAGAGGGGAGCATAGACCCTTATAAAAAGCTTCACTTGAGTTCATACAGTAGGGCACAGAGTTTGTCTTTGGTAAGGTTTCCACCTCTCACTCCATCATTGCCAACTAGGCTACAGTGCAATTGAACTTTGGATCTTTTAGCAACGATTCAAGTGTATTTACTAAAACCCTGATGTACACTGAACCAAAATATAAATGCAACATGTAGTGTTGGTCCCATGTTTCATGAGCTGAAATAAAAGATCCCAGAAATGTTCCAGATGCACAAAAAGCTTATTTCTCTCATTGTTTGCACTAATTTGTTTACATCCCTCTTAGTGAGCATTTCTCCTTTGCCAAGATAATCCATCCACCTGACAGGTGTGGCATATCAAACTGATTAAACAGCATGATCATTACACATGTACATCTTGTGCTGGGGACAATAAAAGGCTACGAAAATGTGCAGTTTTCTCACACAACACAATTCCACAGATGTCTCAAGTTTTGAGGGAGCTTGCAATTGGCATGCTTCGGAGGGGTTGGGTTAATGCATTCAGTTGTACAACTGACTAGGTATCCCCCTTTCCCTGACTGCAGGAATGTCCACCAGAGCTGTTGCCAGAGAATTGAATGCTAATTTCTCTACCATAAGCCTCCTCCAACGTCGTTTTAGAAAATTTGGCAGTATGTCCAACCGGCCTCAGAACTGCAGACCACATGGAACCACGCCAGTCCAGAACCTCCACATCCAGCTTCTTCACCTGCGGGATCATCTGAGACCAACCACCCGAACAGCTGATGAAACTGTGGGTTTGCACAAGAGAGGAATTTCAACACAAACAGTCAGAAACCATCTCAGGGAAGCTCATCCGCTTGCTTATCGTCCTCACCGGGGTTTTGACCTGACTGCAGTTCGGTGTCGTAACTGACTTCAGTGGGCAAACGCTCACCTTCGATGGCCACTGGAACGCTGGAGAAGTGTGCTCTTCAAGGATGAATCCCGGTTTCAACTGTACCGGGCAGATGGCAGACAGCGTATATGGCGTCGTGTGGGCGAGCGGGTTGCTGTTGTGAACAGAGTGCCTCATGGTGGCGGTGGGGTTATTATATGGGCAAGCATAAACTACGGACAACGAACACAATTGCATTTTATCGATGGCAATTTCAATGCACAGAGATACTGTGATGAGATCCTGAGGCCCATTGTCGTGTCATTCATCCGCTGCCATCACCTGATGTTTCAGCATGATAATGCACGGCCCAATGTTGCAACGATCTGTACACTATTCCTGGAAGCTGAAAATGCCCCAGTTCTTCCATGGCCTGCACACAACCAACAGCCTGATCAACTCTATGCGATGGAGATGTCACGCTGCATGAGGCAAATGGTGGTCACACCAGATATTGACTGGTCTTCTGATCCATGCCCCTACCTTTTTTTAAAGGTACAGTTGAAGTTGGAAGTTTACATACACTTAGGTTGGAGTCATTAAAACTTGTTTTTCAACCACTCCACAAACTTCTTGTTAACAAACTATAGTTTTGGCAAGTCGGTTAGGACATCTACTTTGTGCATGACACAAGTAATTTTTCCAGAAATTGTTTACAGACAGATTATTTCACTTATAATTCACTGTATCACAATTCCAGTGGGTCAGAAGTTTACATACACTAAGTTGACTGTGCCTTTAAACAGCTTGGAAAATTCCAGAAAATTATGTCATGGCTTTAGAAGCTTCTGATAGGCTAATTGACATCATTTGAGTTAATTGGAGGTGTACCTGTGGATGTATTTCAAGGCCTACCTTCAAACTCAGTGCCTCTTTGCTTGACATCATG